CAAAGAATACTCTGGCTGCACCTTCTCCAAGACATATCTGTTCGTTCTTTTGGCCATTCATGGGATGTTTTGTGTTCTTCTCCAACACCACAGCTCAAAGGCGTCAATTCTTTTTCTGTCATATTTATTCACTGTCCAGCTCTCAGATGCATGGCAAGTAATCAAAATATTAGTCCTCAAACTGACATTATTACACCTCAATAATTTGGAGAGGTTCCTAACTGATGATTTCCCAGTGGAATAAATCTCCTTATTTCCTGACTGCTGGTACCAAGGGTGTTACTTCTGGATCCACTCAAGAGTAAGCTATTGACAGATTCAATCTCCTCTCCATCCAACATGATGCTACCTCCTGATCCAGTGGTAAGAATCTTTGTTTTCTTGGTTGTCTCATCTGCATAACCCAAGTTATTGATTAGTCTCCCTCCAATCCTGATCCCACACTCCTCTTCATAGAGTCCAGCTTCTCAGATATTTATCTCAAAATACAGACTGAATATGTGTGGAGAACCCTCACATACTCCCTTCTCAATTTTAAACCATGCAGTGCTCCCCTGCTCTGGTTTGCACAACAGCCTCCTGGTCCAGGTATAGGTTCCGCATGAGCACAATCAAGTGCTCTGGGATTCCCTTTGTTCTCAATGTCAGCCACAACTTGCTATGATCCACATGGTCAAATGCCTTTGCACAATCATTAAAGCATAAATACACATTCTACTGGTATTCTTTACTTTCAGTCAGGATCCATCTGACATCAACAGTGATATCCCTGGCACCACAATCTCTTCTAAATCATGCTTGAACTTCTGGTAATTCCCTATCTATGTACTATCCTATCCAGTTTTGAATGATCTTCAGCAGTATTTTGCTTGCATGTGATATTAACGATATTGTTTGATAGTTTTCACATTCAGTTGGATCGCCTTTCTTGGGAATGGGAACAAATATGTACCTCTTCCAATCTGTTGGCCAGATAGCTGTCGTCCCAATTTCTTGGCAGAGACTGATGTCGCATCCAAGGCTGCATATCAATATATTAATAACATAATTAATAATACTAATTGAAACAGGTCAATTGGCATCCCATTGATTCCTGGGGCCTTATTTTTACCAATGCCTTCAATGCAGCTTCTACTTCTTCATTCATTACATTTTTCAGCATCAATCCTTTCTGGTATGATGATTCCATGCATTCCCTCCAACTTCTTTTGATGCTTTTTGGGTCATTCAACATATGCCCACAACATATTTCAATACTGTGTCAAGAGACTTAAATTTATTTTTCAGTTTTTTAAGCTTGAGAAATACAAAGTGAGTTCGACCCTTTTTATTCTCCAATTGCAGCTCTCCTCATGTTCCATTAAAATAGTTTGCTTTGTCTTCCTGAGCTGCCCTTTGAAATATGTTCAGTTCTCTCACTTTCCTTTTGTTTTGGCTTCTCGAAGGTCCAGTGCAGTCTTTAGAGTCTCTTTTAACCTCCATTTCTGCCGTTTTTGTAATGACCTTTTAAAGCTTCTTCATGGATGATGTCCTTGATATTATCCCACAACTCATTTCGTCTTCTATCATTGGTGTTCAGTGTCTCAAACCTATTCTTAAGATGTTCTTGAGATTCAGATGGAATTGACTCAAAATCCTATTTTGGTTCCTGTGGACTTATTTTCATTTTCTTCAGCCTCAATCTGAACTTACATGTAAATAATTGATCATAGCGAAAGTTATTTTTAACTTTCCTGAATCACAGTAGATGCTATGATTATTATTCTCAAAAAGCAGAAGAGCTAAACAAGCTAATTTTTTTCTTATATCTCCCCAAAAGAAAGAAAACAAAAAAATAATTCTTCCTATAAAAAGGAAAAAGGAAACCCAACAAAACAAAACAAATGCGTACTCTAGGATTAGTGTTCAGACACTTTGCTTTCTCACATTTTAAATCTTAAGGGAAGAGTCAAAACAAAACTAATGCCATGCTCCTTTCTTTAAAGAAAGCCAAGTCAGACTACTTACTGCCTATATCTGTACCAATCAGTCCTGAGGACAGAAAGAGAAGCATGTGATTTATGACACAGTCCACAGAAAATTTCAGTGCTAACCTTCTAGCCGTTTGAATGAACCAGGCATTCTGAGGAAGAAAGACAGGCAGTCTCCTGTAGTTATAATTTACAACCCTGGAAACTTAATGGAGGGCTACTATGAGCCAGAAACCACTGACAGGAGAAGTCTTTTTTTAGTATCCCTGGTAGTGCTGTTGTTGTGGTTCCTTGAGCCTGTAATCATATGGAATGCTAATGCTCACCTATCTTCCTCCCTCCAAGCAACTGGTCGATTTGAATTGCCTGTTTTTGGATAAGTAGGGCAACTCTCTACCTACTAGGCCACCAGAGCTACCTACATGTACAATTTAGAGACATTAATGGCATTCTTTGAGTTGTACAACCATCTCATCCTACTTTTCTGAGTTATTAACATAAACAAAGTGTTTATGTTAAAGGTTTCTATCTAATCTTTCTAATTGCTATTTCAATTTTATCTCATATAGATAGTTCTTAAAAGACAGTAATACTCAAGGCAGACTTTTTAAACTGACTTATTCTCTTACTAGTTATTCAAATCTATTACCTTATTTTATGATGATTAAAATTTTGGGATGTGGTTTTGGGTTTTGGTCTGATTTGGGGCATTTTTTTAAATTAAGTTTGAAAGATTAATTTAGGTCAATAGTTTCAGAGATTTATTCACACTCCATCTCTCCAGAAATCTAGAATCTATGAGTTTGAAAGTCCATTATGTATTTCCCCAAATCTGATGAAGATTCTTCTACAGACTTTTGTATTAAAATATTCAGTGATGGCAGCCAGGCACTATCCCATTCTTCTGGCCTCCTGGTACTGGTGGCTGCTGTTCATGGCACAGTTAGTCACATTATTTCACATACTCTTCCTATGTCTAATACTTCCTCTATTGTAGCAGGTGACTTGTTTTCAAATGGGTTAGTATTTGCTATTAGGAAGTAAGAACTTGACCCAAACAGCCCCTTAAAAAAAAAAAGGCAGTTATAATTTCAATTTTAAGTTGAAGTAAGCAAGCCTAATCAATTTCCTCCTGGTTTTCTCTGGAGAAAGGTGCTCACTTTGGTAGATTCTACTGGTAGTGCTGTCAGTTCCAGCCACCCAGGAATAGGGGGAAATGAGGTAAAGTAGCATAAGTAAACCACTCTGAAAACACACAAAGGCAGCTCAGTACCCCTAAAGAGGAACTGCGGGACACAAAGGTGAAAACCCAGAGTCAACTAAAATATTCAGCGGGGGAAAAGGAGAGCTTTAAAAAACATTTTTAAAGTTGTTGTTGTTGATTGCCTTTGAGTAGAGCATGACTCATAGGAACCCTAAGAATAAAAAAAGGCCTGCAGCCTCTCTACAACTATTGACATTTATCAAAGTTCTTAAGTTTTCAAAGTAAAAACTTGTTATTGTTAGTATAACCCATAGAGAGCCTAGTAACAACATATCTGAACCCTGTCCTATCCTGTGCCATTCTCATCATCTCTGCCACACTTGAAGCCATTATTAAAGTCATTGTGTCACTCCACCTGACTGAGGGTTGTTTTCTCATTTGTTGACCCTCTACCTTTCCAAGCTTAATGTCCTTCTCCAAGGAATAGAATCTTCTAACAACTGTTGTTGTATACTGTCATGTCCAAACCAATTCAAGATTGACCTTCCAGCAGGTTTTCAGAGGCAGTAAATCCCACGGGAGGAGAATGCCTATTTTTCTGCCACAGAGCAGCTGGGAGATTTGAACCATGTGCCTTTGGGTTGGCAGCACAACTCATTACTACTCAGCCACTAGAGCTCCCTCTCCTAACAACTAGGAATATTAAAATAAGAATTGTATTTTTAAAAGGCAGAGATATTTCTTCAAGTGAGAAAACTACTCCGGACTTCATTTTTCTTGTCAGGACAATCTTCAAAGAAACAAAAATTACTTTAACACATCATTTCAACTCTATTCATTTCAAAGTCTAAGATGTTACTGATCCAAGCCATGGTCTTTTTAAGTACTTGATATATATCTGGGAGCTGGATAATGCATAAAGATTACAGAGGAAGAATCAATGCCTTTTGAGTTATTGTATTTGACATGAGTACCAAATATCCCATGGACTGCCAAACAAACAAATATGTCTTGGAGAAACTGCAATCAGGGTGCTCTTGGATGCAAGAATGATGAAGCTTCATCTCTTATATTTGGGTGTGTTATAGAAGATGTCAGTTATGGGGAGCTCTGGTGGCCTAGTGGCAAGAAAGTGCAACTACAATCCCAGAGGTGCACGGTTCGAATCCACCAGATGCTCTGCCGGGGAAGGAGGGGCAATCTCCTCCAGTACCAGTCAGATCTGATTTGACGGTACACGCACACAAAAATTAAAAAAAAAAAAAAAAAAAAAGATGTCAGTTATAGGAACAGAACATCAATCATGCTTGGAAAGGCATGTGAAAGAGAGGATGACCCTCAACAAGATGGACTGACACAGAGACTGTAACAATGGGTTCAAGTACATCAGAGATGGTAAGAATGGCACAGAATAGGGCAACATTCAGATCCCCTGTTCACAGGGAAGCACTAAGTCATAGTTAATTTGCTGGCATATAACAACAACGGAAAAATTTTATCAAACATAGGGGCATAAAAGGTGGCCAGTCCACAAGCTCTAATGACCCTATTACCCCAATTCCCAAAGGCAGGAAGAAATAGGGACAGAGTTATACACACAGTTCCAGAGAGGAATGTAAAAGCCAGGCTGCTCCATAGTCAGGAAGCTACCCAAAATAATTTCAGTTATTCTATACTAGATAAAAATCTGATGCTAGAAATCTCTAGGTCCCAGGGTAAACTGAATCAGGTGAAAGTCAACCAAGATAGTCAATAAAACAATCTAATCTGCTTTATTTTGAAATTATTTCATCACATCAACAAACAGACCAAGTCTCATTCATTACCTGCCATATTCCAGAAGTGTAGCATGGACTCGAGTATCTTCGTCGAGCACTTCCTCTGCTCTCTGCTGACGTCTGTATTTTCGACAGGGTCTGTATACATTCTAAGAAACGGATAAAACATAACTTAGCACATGTAAAGAAGCTCTCCTAATGGACAGACTGGTGAAGCATCAGTTAGTTGGAGCAAGTCTTTTCTCATCATGTCCAAGGCATCTCTCTCAGTTGTTGTAGGAGGAGTGAGGGCACACAGGGTCTACTCTAACAAAGAGGCAAGGTGTACAAAGGCAAGGAGAAAATGATGACCTCATCCTCTGGAGATCTGAGAAAAGTGACTATGTGCCCTCCTTTCCATAAACAGGAAAGTATATACTATATGAGGATCTTTTCATCTTAAATTTTAATATTATAAACCAATACATAATCACTTAAAAATTCAAACGAAACACAAATAATATAAATTTTCCCTCTACTCAGCAAGCTTATGCTGTCAGTGTTTGTTGGATAAACATATTATGTCTGTGTTAAGTATTGCTGCGATGACGACTTACAGCAACCCTATGAACAGATCTGAGCTGTGTCCTATCCTGAACCATCCAATGATCTCTGACAGGATGGAACCATCAGTCATAGTGTCAATCTATCTTTTTGAGGGCCTCTCTTCCATTTACTCTTACTTTCCCCAGTATGATGTCTTTTTTTCAAAGCGCTTACTACAATTTCATAAGTCCATGTTGGAATCAATAAATGTCTGTAGAATAAAACTTCAATGGGGAAAGGTCCCTCCATTTGAGAATCCTGGCCTCCGCAGCTAGGGAGCCATCCCAGGTGTCAAACAGGATAAGGGAGTTTGGGGCAGAAAGCTACAAGTGGGGGAAAGATGATCTCAGTTTTCTCAGCTGGCATTTTGAGCTGCAAAAAAGATAGCTGACTTTAACCCCCATGGACAGAAACTACTTGAGTGGAGAATATGGTCTCACACCACTTAGTCTCTCCACAGATGGAGGAGGACAATAGAGTTTGGGAGAGAGAATTGCCTTAAGGTGAGATTCCTGAAGGCTGCAGGGCAGACCAGAGAAACCTGAAGAACTTTAAGAAAGGCAATTTCAGAAAGGAACTTCAACAGAATGAGTGGCTTACCCAACAACTGAATATTTTAAGCTGTCAACTAAACAACACAATCATAATGGTAAGAACTAGCAACAACTTACCCAGACACAATACATACGGCCTAACACTTATCAAGAAAAACTTCCCACAATGTCAATAAAACAGCAGGGGAGACAGAGCTGAGGTATCCCTAGAGCTGTAGGCCCCTCAATCTGGGGGTTCTTGCCAGCACAGCCGTGGGGCCATCCCGGGGGATCAAACAGGACAAAAGACTTTAGTGTACAGAACTTCAAGTAGAGTAAACAATTTTCTTGGCCCCCCCTGCAACACAGGGCTGACCCATGAGTCTTTGCATATAGGCAGTCCAGGAGGAGGTCTGATCTCCTGTCATACTACAGGCAAAGGAGCACACCAAACCACAGGAGAAAAGGTCAGGAGAGGTGGGGACTCTGTGCCAAGTGTGAGCACTGCCCACTGCTTGTGGGGAGACAGGGCTGAGGAGTCCCTGGGGCTTTAGGTACCACCATCTGGGGGTCCTTTCCTCCACATCTGCGGGGCCATCCCAGGGGCCAAACAGGACAAGAGACTTTAGTGTGCAGAACTTCGCAAAGAGGAAAGCATTTTCTTGGCTCCCTGCAACACAGGGCTTTTTGGGGAATTTTGGGGAGGCAGGGAGGGTTTTTGGCCAGGAGAGATCGCCTAAGCTCCAGATAAGTGCAAGCCTCCCAACAGCCTTTAATACGGGGTAGAGAAAGCTCTCCTGTTTGGCTGTACTGGATTAAGAAAGCTCGCCACCTAGGAAGACGGCTGCCACATCTGTTGAGCTGCGAGTGGTCCACACAAGGCTGAGGTTCTCCTATCCAATCCATATGCCCCATGTCTATAAGCCCACCCTATTCTGTCTTCCTGTTAACTTGTTCATATGTATGTATGTATGTATGTATGTATGTATGTGTGTGTGTGTGTGTATATATATATATATATATATATATATATACACACTGCAGTATCCAATAAAATTGAGCTGGACTGATTCTCTGATCCTCTTCTGGAGTGGTGTATCTCCATTGTGCTTACCCCCATCAGGACACTGCTGTTTAGTGGCCGGCGAACAGACAGTGACAAGGGCTGACCCGTGAGACTCTGCATACAGGTGGCCCCGGTGGGGGGGATCTGATTGCTCGCCACACCAGAGACAAAGGAGCACACCAAGTCACAGGAGAAAAAGTCAGGAGAGGTGGGGGCTCTGTGCAGAGAGTAAGCACTCTCCATTGCTTCTGGTGAGGCAGGACTGAGGTGTCGCTTGGACTGAAGGTCCCTCCATCTGGGGGTCCTTGGCTCCACAGCTGTGGGGACATCACAGGGGCCAAAACAAGACAAGATATTTTAGTACAGAGGGAAGGGATTTTTGTATCTCTTTGTGAAAGAAAGTGAGGGCTGACTTGAGAAAACCTGCATGCATGGTGCTTTAACCAGCAGCTCTGATATCTAATCTCCAGCCACTCCAGAGACAAAAGAAGACATTAAGCGCCATGAGAAAAGGTTCATGAGAAACTGCTTGAGTAGAGCACCTGATCTCACACCACTCAGGCACTTCATATATGAAGGAGGCCTATAGAGTTGATGTCAGGGGACTACTTCAAGGCAAGATTCCTACAGGGCTGCAATGCAGAACAGAGAGAACCTCAAGAACTTTAGGAAAAGGCAAATTTTTCCAGAAAGGATTTACAATAGAGTGAGTACCACATTTTAACCTGGCAACTAACTAGTAACATTATAAAGGCAAGAACCAACAATAACTTCTGTAGACACAATGGAAATGACCTAACACTTATCAAGAAAAAATTCACATAATATCAAGAAAGCAATAGGTAGCTTCAAACACTGTGAAAAACACAAACTAAGCCTGTAAAAAAAAAAAAAAACCAACAAAAAAACAAACCAACCAAACAACACAACCCCAACAACAAAACCAACCAGAGAATATCAGAGACCTAATAAATACCCCAGAGTTAGGAAGGCAGATGATATATGTTGATATGGATACCTTCAAACAGCTATGAACAAAAGTACAAATGATGTGCAATCCCAGAGGTATACGGTTCAAATCCACCAGATGCTCTGCTGGAGAAGGAGGGGGCAATCTCCTCCTGTACCAGTCAGATCTGATTTGATGGTACACGTAAAAATAATACAATAATAACAAAAAATTTTAAAAAAAGTACAAATGATGCAAGAAACAATGGAAGCCACAGATAAAGGGAATAACCTGGAGGGAAAATCAGAAAAAAAAAATATACTGAAGAGTTCTTTGAACAGCTATGGAAGAAGGTGCAAATGATGAAAGAAAAAATGTTCCAGAGACACAGAGCCAGAAGAAATATATTGATGAGGAGGAACTTACATGAATATGGAAGAAAATGCAAAAAATGGAAGGAAGAATTGAAGAGATAGATGAACTTAGAAAATCATCACAAGATAGAGAATACTGCCAACACAGTACTAGAAATAACAGAAAGGCAAGAAAATGCAATACAGATCATTAAGATCAAACTGGTATCCAATACATTGGAAGGACAAAAAAGTAGAACAGAACAGTGGGAGCAGAGAGTCAGCAAGCTAGAAGATGAGAACCTCAATGGAAACATACTAGAAGAAAAATCAGAGATGAGACATAAAAACAACAAAAACCCACATGAGAATCATGTGGGATGGCATCAAAAGAAACAACATATATATGATTAGAATTTCAGAATAGGAGAGGGACAGGGAAATCACTGAGAAAATTATGGAAAGGGTACTACAGGAAAATTCCGGGCATTATGAAGAACAAGGAAATCCACACTCAAAAAGAACAGTGAACACCAAATAGACTAGGCCCCCCCAAAAAAAGAAAACATCAAGACGTATCATAGTTAAAATCTCCAAAATAAAATAATACTAAAAGTGACATGAGAAAAACAAAGAGTCAACTACAAAGGAGAATGAATGAGATTAAACTCTGATTTTTTTAGCAGAAACCAGGCAAGAAATAACATAATGGAATGGTGCTTTTCCTGTGAGCAGCAGCAGGTAATCTCCCAAATTGGTGTGCTACTCGCTTGACCCAGAAAACCCCACAAAATCATGCAAATAAAGAGGCTCAAATCTCCAGGTCCATTTTAAAAGCACCCGAGAAACTGCCCAAGCCATCAAAGGTATGCATATCTGGAAAGCCATCAAGTATCTGAAAGATGTCACTTTGCAAAAGCAGTGTGTGCCCTTCTGAAGATACAACGGGGGACCGTGTAGGTGCGCCCAGGCCAAACAGTGGGGTTGGACACAGAGTCAGTGGCCCAAACAGAGTGCTGAGTTTTTGCTGCATATGCTTAAAAACGCCAAAAGTAATACTGAACTTACGGGTTTGATGTTGATTCTCTGGTCATTGAGCATATATAGGCGAACAAAGCTCCAAAAATGAGCCACCGTAGGTACAGAGCTCATGGTGGGATTAACCCCTATATGAGCTCCCCCTGCCATAATGAGATGATCCATACTGAAAAGGAACAGACTGTTCCTAAACCAGAAGAGGAGGTTGCCCAGAAAAAAAAGATCTCCCAGAAAAACTGAAGAAACAAAAACTTATGGCTCGAGAACAAATACGTGAAAATAACTTTAAAAAAAAACTTAAATGGCATATAAAGAAAAAGTTAAAAAAAAATAATTGCCAACTGAAGATAGTGTACTCAACAAAGCTCTCCATCAAATATGAAAGAGAAATTAGATCCTTTGGAGAAAAAGAAGAAACTTGTAAAAACAAGACCAGTTCTAGAATACCTTTTATGGGAACTGCTTCACGCAGAGACACCAAAGAAAGTAGATGAATCATGTTGTTGTTGTTAAGTTCTGTCGAGTCGCTTGCAACCCTATGTACAACAGCCCTAAACTCTATTCTGTCCTGTGTCAATCGCACTGTCTCTGACACTCCCATCCCAATTATCCCAGTCAGTGAATT